TGCTGGTGCTGCTGGTGCTGCTGCTGCTGCTGCTGCCGGACGCTGATCCTTGCCTCTGCGAGCCCTGACGGCGGTTCCTGTTTTTTTTGTGCATTTCTTTTTTTTCCGTTTGCAGCTGGGGCTCTGTGGGGAAGAGCGCGCTGCAGCAGCACGACAAGAGCAGCACCGCAAGGGGAAACCTCAAGTGCCGCGCTGCAGCCTTGCATACGGCGCTGCAATGCCCAAAATTGGCAGCCCCAAAATCCAACTTGGGCCTCTCTCTCGCCTCTGACTCAAAGCGGAAGGCCCAGCTGATCTGCGCGTCCAATCAGCCCCGCTCGTCGTCCAAATCCCCGAATTGGGCCTCCGAACCACGAACCAGCCCATCACCACCTCGCAGAACCTTCCTCGACGCTTCACGCTATGGTCGCCATCCATAGTAGCGCTTTGGCCTCGAGTTCTAGCCCGTGCTGCCTCGTCTTGCGAACATTCTCCTGCAAAGAGGCTGGCACCGAGCTCGAGCACGAACTCGCATGCGTGAGTTGCAACGCAGGCTGCTGGATGCGAGTGAGGAGGCGAGTGAGGAGGTTGCGCTTCGCCAAGCGCTAAGCGAGCTGCGCTGAGCTCGAAATCGATTTGGGCTGCCCAATTCCTCCCCGCCTCTTTTCACGTTCCTCGTATGATGTCGACGGCTGCTGGGGAGAAAAGAGTCTCGAACGGGCGCCGTGAATTTCGCCCTATCTATCAATGTTTGCTGTTGCGTTCCAACAGCTCAGAATTTCGCCAAAGCCCGACTCCCGAGGCAAAGGTGCATCTTCGCCTGGACCCTGAGCGCAGAAAAGGCCATGCAACATCTCGGCTTCACACCAAAGCAGCTTGGCCACTCTGGTCGTCACCACCACGACACGGATCCCAAGGCATGGCCCCACCAAACCAGACCTCTTCTGACCTGTGCTGAAGATGCTCCCCCACAGCTCGCAGTACAGTGCCTACGGCAGCGGCCGCGCTGGCCACAGCCTCTCGCAGCCGGGCGCCGCGCCCTCGTCCGACTTTGACGAGCTCTTCTCGAGCCAGCCCGGACCCTCTTCCGGCTTCGGTCACCAACCGTCCCAATCCACAAAACGCCCACGCTGCCCAGAATGCGGAACGCGCAAGATGCGCCTGCGCGCCGGCCAGCTCATCTGCAAACGCGGCCACGTCCAGCAGTTCTTCCGCGTCGAAGAGGCCGAGGGCGACGAGTACATCGGCGACGGCATCGCGCGCAAGCGCAGGGTCCAAAAGACACACCGCGTCCGCAGACTCAAGAGTCAGCACACGCCGTGGTACTCGCAGCCGGAAACCGACGTCGAACCGGACGATAGCGAGGAGGACCAGCTTGAACACGAGAGCTCCCGTGCCAAGAAGCGGCCGAGGAGCGCCAGTTTCCGCCCTGCAGGGGCGGAAGAGGAAGAAGACGAGCTTCTCGAAGACAGTCAGGACGATGAGTCCGATAATCCAAGAGCTAGACCCTACTCGATCAGGGAAGATAGCTTCTTCGAACGCACGCCTCACTCGCTCCGAAGCTATGCAGCTTCCTCGGCGGCCGAGGAGAGCGGCTTCGAGTCCGAACTCGACTCCCATGCTCGTGCATCCCGTCGCGGCATCCGCAGTATCTGGCGCTCCGGCGTCGGCCTCCACGGCGCCTTTGAAGGCCGCTTTGCACTGCTCCAGTGCCTCCAGCTCGTGCTCCGCCTCCAGCTGCAAAAGCTGCGTGAGGTGTGGGGCGACAAATTGCCTCGCGAGACCGAAGCGGTAGCACGCGATCTGTGGGCCATGTTCGTCTCGCTCCTCCCCGTCGGCCACTATCCGCCGGAACCGCTGATCGCCGCGACGTTCGACTGGCACACGCGCACGGCGCTCTCGCAGCAACGCGCCGCCGAGCTCTTCCCCAACCACCAGACGTACGATCCGCAAGCTGACATCCACGCACACAGGCGCACCATGCTCTTCAACGCCTTCCACCACCACTGCGAGCGCAGCGCCAGGGGCGAGGATGTCGCTGCACGCCGCTTCACCACGCAGCATGTCGACGACCGCGCCGGCGCCGAGGATCCAGGCGTGGCCAAGGAGTGCATCGACTGGATCGTCGGCAATGCCGAAGATCAACGCGCCACGTCAAGGTCGCAGCGCTCGAGCGAGGTGGAGAGTCTGGCGGATCCAGAGGACGAACTGGCACAACTCGACCCGGTCTTTGCCGAACAACGCCGGCAGCAGCGGCGAGCGACGTCCGAGAGCGAGCCACACGACACCGAGACCGAGCACGGCGGACTGGGCGGGCAGGGCGGGAGGACGAGGCGCAAGCGAAAGCGCAGATTCCTGCCGCCCTGGGCGACCAAGAATGCGGCGGGTACGGCGCAGACCGAGATCCTGCAGCTGGCTACCGTGCCGACGACGCTATCCATCGTGTACCTCGCGCTGCATCTGCTCAAGGTGCCGGTGTTCTGGGCAGACCTGGTCAAGCTCGTTGCGTCGTACGAGCTGCCGTTTTTGAACGTGGTGCATCGGCTGCCACTGCCGCTCACGCGCTCGCTCAACAAGGACAACGTCCACCACCACATGCTCGACACGGATGCGGTGCCGTCGATCTCGGCGCTGCATCTGCATACCCTCGGCGTGGCCGAGCTGCTGCAGCGCACGTACGGCGTCGAGTTCGGCGACGCCAATGTGTCCGGTCAGCTCGCGCGGATGACAGAGGCCATGCTGCTGCCCCCGACGTTCTATGTGGCGACGAAGAGGCTGTTGGATACTGTAGCGCGTGGGGTGACACCGCAGCTGCTGCCTCTACGCACCAAGGGGAGACAGGATGCAGAGGAGGATGGCAAGAAGGCAGGCTTGCCAGGAGCGGCGTTGGTGCAGCGTCTGCCCAAGGAGTTCGTGCTCATGGCTGCATTGCTCGTGACAGTCAAGATGCGGTATGGTCTGGACGGGCAGGAGAGGAGCGAGGGTGTGGGTGTGGACGGAGCGGTTTCGTGTGCGCCCGAGCTCGAGGCGTGGCTGGCAGCACTCGATGCGAGGAGGGACCGATTCCGCGCGTCCAGAGAGGCAGTCAAACGCGTCGATCCGACCGAGCTCGATCCGCTTAGTATGTCCGAGGACCAGCTGGACGCATACGCCTCGTTTGTGGAAAACAACTTGGTGCTGTCGAACCACATTGATCTGCACGAATGGCGTCGACTAGAGCCGCAGCGTCGATGGGCTGCTTTCACCAACTTCGTCCCGGAGCTTTCCAGGTCGAACCCCCCACGCGGGGAAGGGTCTGATCGCGGTGGCGGAGGAGGTACGACAGGATGGTCCGAGCTGGAGACGGATCTTCGGCGCCTTTATCGACGACACACTGCACGGCCCAAAGAGTCGGGTCTGAAGCCGGGGGAGCAGTATGTGATGCACCAGTTTGCGCCGAGTGCGGGTGCGCCCTCGGATGCGGATCCGCTCGGGCTGTGTTGTTCGCCGCTGTACCCGCGTGTCATGCAGCACGCCAACGAGGTGGTGGGCATCAGTACGCCGCAGTCGGCCAGTGTGGCAATGGACGTGCTGGTGGATCTCGAGTGCACGCGTGCACGCACGCGCGGTGCCGATGCTGTCATTAGGACCTGGGAAATGGCTTATGGGATACAGGCCCACCTCGAGGCAGTCGAGAGGATGCTCGATGCAGAGACAGAACATAGGGCAAGGAACATCAGAAGGAACCTTGCCCGTGCAGCCCCCGCGCGCTCAGGCGGACTCGCACCAGAACCCGAGCAGGATTCGCACCAAGAGCATGCACAAGAGCAGCACGAGCAGCAGCTTGAACAGCCGCAGCAGCAAGAGGATCAAGACACCGACGAGGACGAGGACAGGAGCGAGTCGCCAGACATTTGACCAGCACCTCCCACCAACTCGCAATGCAATCCCAAGCACACCCTGACATGCTCCCTGTGTGGAAAAATTGAATTCTATGCCTTGTCACGCATGCTTGTCGTCGTCGTCCACGCCAAACAGCACAAAGGACTTTTTAGGCGTGTCGCCCCACTCCATCTCGCCGTGGGCACCGCTGAATCGCTGACCCGCTCTCCGATCCAGCCCGTCGTCGCGCTCGTCGTGCTCGGCGTGCTCGGCATGCTCGGCATGCTCGTTGTATCCGAACCGACTCGCGTCCGTATCGCCGTACACCGAGTCGTCATCGACGCTTTCTCGCGGCGCATGCGCACGCGCTGGCGGCTC